GACACATTTCACAAATATAAAATTTTAAAAAATTATTTTTATTTTTAAAAAATTATATTATAATTAGAAAACCAAAAATCTCAAATTTTATAGTTTTCGTCGTCGATCGGTCATCGTCGGTCTATAACGTTACTGTTGATACCATTAGAACCGTCTCACTGTCAATACCAAAACCTAGTCCCCATTTACATGAAACTGTGTCGATCATCGTGAAAAATGCCGCAAAGGATTACCATATTTTCAGGTTTTTCGATTTTCAGCGATTTCAACGCCTACAGTAGTTCATATGTTACACGGTCGCCACCGTTGAATTCCTCGTCGTGTTCTGAACAAAATTCGATCGATTGTGATTGTTCTCCATCAGAGGTAGGGCGAGGGGAGGGAGAGAGACGACAAGGGGGAAAAGAGTTTGATTTTTTTAAATAATATTTTTATTATTAAAAATTTTAAAAAATATAATGATAGACATTTAAAAGTGTAACGAAAAAAATGTTAGACACTTATTTTTAATAAAAATTTCTTTACGCACTAAAACTTATTTTGAGGTATAATTTAGACACTTATTTTTATATTAAACTTTAAATTTATCAAAAATAAAAATTATAAATAAGAATAGAACCATGATAAATATTTTTTTTTTGAGTAAAAGGGAAATGACTAGCCTTTACAAAGTCAACTAGCTATCACATTATTGTCAAATGATTTAGAATTTTTGCGTGAAGTTGCAAGCCATCAGAAAGTCTCCATGCCATGCTAGCCAAACCTCAGCAACTCGGTTAGCTTCCCTGGGATTATAGCAAAATTGAAGACGTCATTCCCTTCGAATAATATCCTGTATGTGCAGTACCATCACAGTCACATTGACTACACCAGGCTCACTTTTGGAGAATAGAGACCACTTCCATGCTATCGGTCTCTACGATAAGATTTCAAATATTCCTTTCCCGAACCATATGAAGGCCGATGTAAATACCTCATAATTTGACATCTACTACCATACAAAACCCAATACGCTTTGAAAAACTTGCAACCCATTTGTTGAGATGGTTCCGGATGACCCCTCCACAAGCATCCCAGCCTGTTGAGCTTTGCCTCGCCCCATCGGTATTTAACTTGAACCAACTGTCTGATGGAGCAGTCCCACAAATATTCCTATCCACACGAGCATTTCGGCTTACCTTCCAGGAATTCCTTTGAGCTATGGCACGAGTAACCTCCCTTTTAAAGCCGAAAACCTTGATGCAAGACGCTTTCACTCACTATAAAATCCATATAGAATATCAGTTTATTCCGATGCGTCCACAAACACCACACTAACGATCCAAACGAAATATCCCAGTCTTTTTTCATCTAATGGGAAATAATGCGACTACTGCAAATTCTTATCAACCCATGACACCAAATCACTACTCAAGAATTCATCAAGTAGGTGCGGTTTGATTACCTCCTTGCAAGTTGCCACAGTCATAGGGCATTCCTTCAAAATATGAGGACTACATTCGATAGCTGCTCTACATAACAACCAGCTACCGTCCATAGCCAGTGGCGGATGTACTAAGCGATGCCAAGTGTATCCCATTATTTTGGAAAAATGGTTAAATTCAACTTAACGTGTTAAGGAAAAAAGAAAAGATTGCAATTTTTACATACCCATTATTTTTAAGAAAAGAAAATTAAAATTTTAGACCCCTATTCTTAAATTTATGGATCTATCACTATTCATCGCTAAATGCCGACAAACATGTTCTTCACTAGAGAGAAGGTGACCCTTATAAATAGTCTTTAGTAGAATCTTAACCCACGGGAGACCCCAAAAATTTTATAATAATTTAAAATTATTAAAAATATATTTATTGTTATTTTAATATTATTTATGAAAAATGACTACTAATATATTTTATAATAATTTAAAGGGTAAAGTATAAATCGCCTCTGGACTGTAGGATAGAATTTTATTAAATTCTCCGACTATTACAAGTTACAAAACAGTCTCTCAACTATAGAGAATTATTTTATTGAGTCCCTCAACTATTAAAAGTTACAAAATGCTCACATGTTTATTCATTATGTTCTAAACTCGTCATTTATTGTTTAAAAATTAACTATCGCCTAAGGTGAACGTTAACATGTTGACTAAGATATGATAGTCGTTTGAGATTATGAGATCATATTTTATCATATCTCAGTTAGCATGTTAACGTATAACTCAGATTGCTATTAATTTTTTAACGGAAAATGACTAGTTTGAAACATAATGAATAGTCATGTGATAATTTTGCAAATTTTAATAGTCGAGGGAGTCAACAAAACAACTTCTATAGTTAAAAGACTATTTTATAACTTTTAATAATCAGGGGACTCAACAAAATATTATCATATAATTAGAGGACCATTTGTTTACTTACCCTAATTCAAAATACAAGTTATCATATGAGATTTTATAAGATAAATCACATCTATAATTACTTAATTATGAAGTTTTAATGTAATTATTGATCTTTAATTTTATTAATTAGACTATTCAATTATTTAAATGACGTTAATTAAAATACTTATCAATAATATTTGATGAAGGAATTGACATGATAGTTAATAAAATTGATACAATTACATATTTGACTATTATTATTTATATATTATATCAATTTTATTTTAACTATCATTTAATTTGATAAATTTAATTTTCTAATTAGATGATGACACATGTTATCGTCTATTTGAATGAAAATTTTATTGAATTAAATAAATTAGAATTGAAAAAACTTTCAATAAGACGATGATACATGCTATGACATTGCGTCGAATGTCATAGCAAGTATCATCACATGAACATTTTTGTTAAATGTTAATGGATGGGGAGTTGATCGATAAAATTAAAAGATCGTCAGACTAAAATTTGCATAAGGGCTAGTTTTGTCGAGCTTTTGAAAAGTGACTTTTAAAAGTGTGGTAGAAAAGAATTTTTAAAAGTACAGCTTAAAATTTAACTGTTGGAGTTAAAAAGTGAGTTTAAAAAAATAAAATATCTATTAAAAACATTATGTTGTAAATTAAAAAAATATAAAATTTAAATTATATTTACACTTATTATTACTATGATATATAAAATATATCACTTAAACTATAATAAAAATATAAAAATGTTTAAAGGTAATTCATGAATAATATTTTTATAAATGAAATATTTTATTAAGAAAAAGTATATCACGTGGATATAAGATATTTTATTAATATTTCAATATATAAATCATCAATTTTTATTTACTTTTAAATAATTAAAATAACTATTAATTAATAAATTATGTTTTAAGGATGTTAATATTAAATTATTAAAATAAAATATAAATACATAATTGAGTGGAACCTATGCATCAATAAGGGTAAAATTATAACTTGCTCTCAAACGCAAAGTTGAAAATGAAAAAAACTACAAATTCTAGCTTTTGCGGTTGGTTTGAAACCACCGTTTTCACCGTATTTTTTTTATTTGTTACACGTTTGATATTGATTTTACAATTAAAACGGACTTTTTAGTTAAAATTACGTTTAAAAAATCACACCAAACGAGACCTAAATAGTCACAAATGTAGTTTATTTTATAAAATTTTATATGATTAGTATACTTTAAAAGTATTTTTCCAATAAATTTTAAATTTAATCTTAAACCTCTAAAAGCGAAAGAAATCTTCATTGCAAATATAAATTTAATGATCTAAAGAATATGAAGTCACAAATTTAATAAAAAAAATAAGATTAATCGTAGATAAAAAGTAATAATCATAATCAAGACTCGTTCACATCAGTATGAAGGATAATGCAGACGATAACATAATTTGTTGATAATATATAACATATATATATATATATTATATTAAATATAATTAAATATAGAAAATATCGAATAAATCACCCAAAATGTCGGTGGTTTGTAAGAAAAAATTTTGTTTCATTAAATTCTGCTCAATATGTACTGATTTCTACATTATTTATTTATTTGAATGAGTAGAGAGAGAGAGAGTTGTAAACAGTTTTTCTCGAAAATTAAACAAAACGTTTTCCATTATATCAATGGCTTAAATAGAATTTTGTACTATAACTTTTAAAAAAACTATTAATTTAATTAATATTAAATTAATTCGTGATGCGGACTTGATCAACTATTTTAATATAGTATGAACAGGTAGATAAACAGATAAATTCTGACAGAAAGGGTGAAGAAACCATAAGAATGTAGAGCAAACGTTGTCGTTTGCCTCCTCTCTTTTGTAAAAAAAAAAAATAGATAGATAGATAAAAAATAAAAGAGTTAGAAAAAAATAATAGAATTGAAAGAGAATAAAATGAAGTGGCCTAAAAATAGATGATGGCATTGGCAGCAGGAAAGTGGCATTCGGTGGGATTGAAAATGAAGGCAAAAAGGAAATGACTAGCAAATTCATTGCTCTCGACTGACACAATTACTGTTGCATATATGTGTTTTAATGGGGTTTTCAATCAAATAATTCCTCCTTATGTTGTCAATGCCCTAATTACCCTTTCATTTGTTTCCTAATCTGATAATGTGTTTATATCTATTTTTTAAAATATATCAGACGCCAGTTCATACCCTATATGCATATTCGAATATTAATGTGAAAAGAAAAGAAAAAAATATTAACAATAAATAAATATCATATATAAGAAAATTTGGGCAGTTGCAGTTAAAGCAGTTCATATAGTAATCTGCTAAAGAGGGAAAACAACCTCAAAACAAGACCAGAACAGAGACACCAGCTACCATAAACGCCCATAGTCTATGTTCTATGATTTGGAACCCTAAAAAAAACAGTGCCATTCATGCTCCTCCTCTTCAATCTCTAATGTTTGCTCTCTATCAAGTTCATTAAAAAAGGAAAGAAACGAAGGGAAAATTGAAAAGCATAATCGGCGATATCTAAGAAAAACAAAAGGGGAAAATTAACTAAAAGTCCTAGTGGACCAACATTAACGGATTCCAACTCTTAAGTCCTCGTTTTAACGTCGGTGGTTGTTGCAGTATCATTGAGGAAATCAAGCAAAACAGTGCTATTGCATTTGGGGCATTTCGGGTCATCCTCCGAAAGCATCACGTATATAAGGCACCTCGGGCAACCTACGAGAACCATTGGAAACGACGTAGCATCGGGGCTGCTTGCATATCCCACGGCATCGGTCATGTCGACGTTGTGAGACGACACACATGAGCTCAGAGAAGATGTCGGTGACACCGTCGCTTCTCGCCTCGGAGATTCCACTCTTGGATTAAGCCTCGGTGGCGATAGGTTCAGCTTCAACTCGAGCTTGAGACCATTTCTTCGACTCATCGTTTGTATGTAACTCAATTAACCTGAAACAAGAAAAAGGAATTTAGTTCAATGTACATACACAAAAATATATATTGCAAGATAAAGGATGGATACCTTGAACTTAAAGGTAAAGGAAAGGAAGCTTAGATTGGTGATGGATTGGAAGGAGAAAGAGGAAATATATATAAGGGAAGGGATTGAGGGAGAGAAATGGGTTGTTAGAGCTTAATTAAATGAAATTGAAGGATTGGTGGAAGAGTCTAAATTAAGGCCAGAATATGTTTATTACTTGTTAAGAACATTCAAAGTTTTTATGGTTAAAAATCCAGATTTCTTTAATTTTCTAGGAAACCAAACATAAAAGGTCAACTAAGAATTTAATTTCAAACAACAAAGAAATTTAATGGCAACCAATGAAATGAAAGAATAGCAGCTATACCCAACTTAAATTTCCCAACAGAAACTCATATAACTAAAAATGAATAACACCCACAAAAAATATATATTAATGGCAACATCAATAAAATTTCAAATTAAAGTTTTCTGTGAAAAAAATTCATTGAATTAATAAAAAAAATATTGCTTATTTTCATTCAAAAAGTTCGAGATATGGCTATATTGGGTTATACATTAAAATGACACTATTTTAGTTTAATAACAATATATATATATATATATATTAATAAAAAATAACTTGCTAATAGTAAACTGGGTTGGTAGTTTGGTTTGCTAGCATAAATATCCCATTGTCAAAGAATCTATTTCATTTACAATCAGTTAATTCCCTTGTGAATTATCCAATGGTGAACATAAATATCTGTAGATGTTGAAGTTTTAAAATATAATTATGAGTCACCAAATCAATAAATCTAGTCATTTAATGCATTTAATTTCGCAAAGGACTCTCAATATTTCATACATTTTGCATCTTCAAAAAATATATTTTATATATTTTGGTTACAATTTTTTTTTAAATTTTTTTAAAATTTTTTTTGTAGGATCACTACGGTGAAAAATTGAACCGTACAAGCGAATGCAGTTTTGAAAATTCATTTCTTTAATAACTTTGTAACTGTTAATTATTATAATCTTATAAACGAAAATATTCCTAATTATATGATTAAATATGTTTAATTTTAATAAAATTTTCATATTTATTTTTAAATATAAACTCAAATTAAGATTTTCAGTACGAATTAAAAAAATGGATTTGGTACGGACAAATGTATTTCCCACGTTAAAATTAAGATTATGAGGTGATTGAATCTAAGTTACACGTGGTTAAGATTCATCAAATATTGAATTGAATGAAATGTGATGGCTTTGACTACTCATACTAAACATTTATCAGGTTATGGAATGTGTAAATGTCTAAATGCCAATTGCCATGCTTCAAGGGAAGTTTCAAAACTCCTAAACCTTGTAGAATGAAAGATTGGAAGCTTTACTTTTGAATTTCAAAATTCAGAATTGTATTTCAATAAATTGACTATATTAAACACCAACGAACCCCTTGTACCTTAATCAAACAACTGTAATAAACGAACATAACCATCAATTATACATCAAGTATAATTAAGTCTTCAACAAACAAATTACAAACAATAAGATACACTTCTAATTAATCATAATATAAGTTAAATAAATTCAAACTTATCATTTCAGGTTAATTTAAGATATTACCAACTAGGTATTAATTCCTTTGGTTTAAGCTTTCAAATCCAACTATCATCATGAATTTTCGTAACTATTACTCATTTTGAAACCTAAAACATGCTAATAAGACCCTTTATAGATAATGCCTTACATCAAACACATATGATTCATATACACAAACATAGAGTTATGATACTAACACAATCAAACATATGGTCGGAGAGGTCATCGAGGTCGGAGTGGAGTTCACGGTCAAGATCTAGCTCACCGCCAAAGTTGTGCTATTTTTGTCAATCGTGCCGGTAAGAGGATTCATCCTCGCACTTTGGGAAGCCTTCCAAGAGTATGGGGATGTTCTGAATGTCTATATTGCTTATAGAAGTGCAAAATACAACTTGAAGTTGTATACTTTTGCATTAGTGATTTTTGCTTCTGGAAAAGAAGCCAAGATTGCAGTCCAAAGAGCTCACATGAGACGTATGGATGGTTTTTTAGCAGAGTCTTTCATGCTCTGGATCTCAAGCATGGGAGGAATTCTAATCGACAGGGGGAGTCTCGTTTCAAAGGGAGTATTGAAAAGTGATTTCTTAAGAACACTGATAACATATTGTTCAAGGATGTAGTTCTCAGTGTGGCTGAGATTGAACCCAGATTAGAGGTTGTCAGTGCAGTAAAGTTTGGTCCTGCTAATTGTCTTCTTTTACCCATAGGTGAGCTGAGGTGTGAGCAGTCAGAGTTGTTAGTTTTAACGAGTTTGTAGAATGCCCCCTGTCATTTCTATCCATGAAACCCATCATTCTAGTCATGTAAGTGAGTCTCCGTCTTCAAATAGGGTAGAAGTGTTAACCTTTAGTTTGAATGACGAACTAAAGCTAACCGTTAGGTGATCTCGTGTAAATGTGTGTGATATGACACATAAATCTGTATAGGTATACATAATCGATGCAAGTAATACAATAGTGAGTGAGTATATCGTCTCTACAGGGATTGGGGGAATTCTTTAAAGATTGCTACAGCTAGGAACAGACGTCACTAACTAATCCTAAGCGTCTAAATCTAATGATATAAACAAATGAGAAATGTGCTATGGCAGATGGTATGAACAGATTGAAAAAGTTTGCTGAGGCAAGAACTGTGTGAAGTGAGCAGATAATTTTTGTCATGGCAAGAAAAATATGCAAGAGTAAACAAGTAAAATTTTCTAAGAAAAAAATTAATTGCAAGAGTAAATAAAAGTTGCTAATGTGAAAAAGTTTGACTTCTGAATATAGACTAACAACCTCAAATAACCAGACTTCTAACGGAGAACTTGGGTTGGATTTGCTACGGTGAAAAACTATTCTATGCCTAGGATGAACTAAGTATAGTGTGTCAATGCTGCCTGATAGGATTTACTAACGTTTTCCTAAGCTATATCTAGTAAGGAACATGATACAACTATTTCCACGACAATACCTCTTAGCGTAAAAAGTGACCCTAGCCTATCGCTTAAGTATTATCCCTTTTAGTCGCTTGAAACCATCTCTTTATCTCTAAGGTGGATTAGAACCTCACCATCCCGAATTAGTTCCCTTATTCACGTAGATCTAACCTAACTCTTTCGATATTAGGTATCAACTCCTAGAAAAGCTGCTATCTCTCAACAACTCTTACAAAAACTAGGAATATTATGCCAATGCACCAGACAATCTCTCAAAAGCTCTTACAGTGATAAGGCATAAGATTAAAACAATGAACAAAACAACAATAAACATAAATATACTTATCATCCATTAAACATAAAATAAAGTATCATCCAAATAACTCCAACACCAAATAAAATTATTCATGGTGTGGCTAAAATTATTCCAAAATATTCATTAAGTACAAGCCCTTAAAAGATAAGAAATGAAGAACAAGGAGAAGGAAACTCCCATAAAATAGAGATGTTGCCGTGACATCAGACCATCACCATGACTGCCGGCAAAGCTAGGCTATGGAGGACACCAAGGAAGGACAAGAGGGGAACGATGAAAAAGTTGTTGCAGTCACCTTTTTAAAGCTTTTAGGGTAGGTAAGAGTGGGGATTTCTAAAATGGTGGGCATAATATTCTATTTATAGTGGGGGAATTTCTAGGGTTTAGTGCCCTTGAAATTTCCCCAACTACCCTTGAATCTATTCCCATTTCATGAATAATATAGTAGCAGACAATGGTCTCAAATCCTTGGTAGGGGAAGAGGCCCACATAAGGTGCAATGGACAGTTGGCCACACGACGTCAGTAATTTTATCTCGTATTGCGTCAGACTTGCAAGATAAAACTTACTGTTGAGAAAAATTCCTCGCAATCATCGTTTTTAGTTCCTTTGGACCTCGCATATAAATTTGTCTTGGTAAATAATTTTCTCAGCGATAATTTCCTATCACCTACATCATCACAGACATCACACAACCCTTCTCATCAGCAGCATCAGTTTTATAAAACAAACTTTGCCGCGACAAAACTATTCCACCACATGCAATGAAATGTTCTAAATGAAACTAAAATGCTATGACAATGAATTTTGGACAAACATTAACTTAAGTAAAAAGACATATAGTCTTTTTTATGGAGTTATTATTAGGTCTGCCTCCAATGATGAGATTAGTGAGATTAATTGTCTGGTCGCCAAAATAAAAGAGATGTGTAACCCTGAGCTGGTTTAAGAATCTCTTAGTTTTGATGTTACAATGTTAGGGTTTGTCCTTGGAGTGGCTTTGTAATATCTCAAATTTTGGACTAGTGATTAAAATGTAAAATTCAAAAATTTAGGAACCAAAATGTAAAGATGTAAAAGTTTAAAGACTCAAAATGTAAAAGTTTAAAGACTAAAAATGTAAATTTTCAAAAGTTATGTTTTGGGTCTATAAACGAGAAGCTTAGCCCAAGAATAATATTTTAGTGGGTTTTAGATTTTTGAGTTAGAGTTTGTATAAAAGTCTATTGAAGGATAAAATTTGGTATAATATTCGAATAAACGAATCGAATTAGAAGCTTATAAAAATTTAAAGGAAAATAGTTTTGTGTTAGAAAATTTATAATGATAATTTTAATCAGTGGAATTTGATGTGGATTAGTGGAATTTGGTAGAATTTGCACTATAAAGTAGAATAGTGCAATTTAGTGACTAAATTAAATTTTTAGAAAATTGGAAGGGCAAGGAGGGGAATTGACAAATGGGATTTTTTATATTTAAATAAGAATTTAAAATAGAGATAAAAGAATGACATAGAGGTAAATATTAAGATTCATTAATGGTAATTTTGACTTTTTGGCTAAAAGGAATTTTTAATTCATTTTAAATGAGCTTTTAAGGTAAAGTTAGAGATATTTTTAAGGAAAT